GGCCTCACCAGTGCCAAGTACAGGGGCACAATCACTTCCCTACTCCTGCTGGCCACACTATTTCTGATACAGGCCAGGATGCCGTTGGCCTTCTTGGCCGCCTGGGCACACTGCCGGCTCATGTTCAGCCGGCTGTCAACCAGCACCCCCAGGTCCTTTTCCGCCAGGCAGCTTTCCAGCCACTCTTCCCCAAGCCTGTAGCGCTGCATGGGGTTGTTGTGGCCGAAGTGCAGGACCCGGCACTTGGCCTTGTTGAATCTATCCATGTGTACAGTCATGACTTTCTTTTACTGACTATGGTTCAGAAAAAGAAAACATCCAACAACCACAAAACAACTGAGGACAGAGAGAGAGTTTGGGGTTTTGTGTTGGGTTTATGTTTGTTTTGTTTTTTAACTATAATTAAATTTGCAAATGTCAACAGCCAAAATCTGATGCCAAAGACTATTAAACACAAGCAAGGAAATCAGCAGGACTTAACAGCTGGTTGTTTAGCGTAAAACAATGAAAAAAAAAGGAAATTCAAACAAGTAATCTGTGAATTAGATGTAGTTTCCCCTTCTTACTCTTGTTTGCAAAGCTGCTTATATGGCTAGATGATGTGAGTAGCTCCATGAAGAAACAGGTACACAACCGAACAGACCAACACACACTGAACCACGACTTAACTTTTGCTTTTAAGTTTATTGCATTGTTATATTAAGCATTTATATTTACACATAATTCTGAATTATTTAGTTACAATATACTGAAACTGTCATCATGATTCCATTATTCACTTATAAAGACCTTCTACCTTCAACAGAGTTAAACCCGATTCTCTTAAAGGCAGTTTTGGAAGAAAAATAATTACTGACTGAAAATGCATGCAAAAAACTACAGTAGTTAGGTTACTAACATGTCTCTCCTGACTTTCTAACATTCCCTCAAAACATGAATGCTATACATGTGTTGTATGAAAAATAGTTGGGAATCTCACGAAATCCCCAAATGATGATAGCACGGTGCTGATTTTTGCTATGTGAAGTCTGCAGTCAAATATATGTATGTATATGTGCATATATATGTGTGTCTCAATGTACACGCATATGTGTGCATGTATAGAGAAGTGTATATAAACACATACACACACTCACGCCCCAAAAGATTCTAGAGGTAAATATGCGGGCTTGCAAATAAAACAAAATACAAAGATACCAGTATGAAATAGTCCTAAACAAAAAAAGGTAATAAATATTCAGTGAGATATATGGCATTATTATAAAGTGCTCTACTAAAATCTCACTTATTAAAATAACGATAAAAATTATGTTCCTTTTAGTTGATTTATATAATTTGGCAGAGCCATTAAATATTCATTATGTATCTGTGACTCTATGCCTCCTTTTAAATTTTAAACAAATAGATAAAAGCAGAAATTAAAAGGCAAAGCAGCTAAATGAAGCAGTACTATTGGAGCCTTTCAGGCTATTGTCCCCAAATTCATTAACGACTGCAAAATTTCAAACCCTAGAGCATATGGATTAAGAAATATAATTCCAATTAAAATTATGAAACTAAACAAAATTCAATTTGATTTTAAGGACAATGACAAACTGAAAAGCTTCTATCCTACTTTAAAATAGTGAGGTTTGAATTGCAGAAATTACTGAACGCCTTATCCTGTGCATTCCCATCCTCTTTCCTCACGCATGTGCAATATAGCTCCACTGAAACCTAGTCTCTAGGTCTCATTTCTCCACATTCCACCTAATTTAAAAAGCAACCTGGCTCATACATTACCGTATCTTGTCCAGTCTGCTTCTACCCTTCTGATTTTCAGCCAAACTCACAAAAGGGTACATCTACAAGAGTGTAAACACTTTAAACAGCTTTATGCCATTTCTCCCGTACCACCAGAAGTTAAAAAAGAAACGTGGTAGTATTGAAGAAAAACAGCTTCAGGAAATAAAGTGAAACAGCCCCACAACGTGAACCTGTCTCGCTGAATTAATAAGAAAGTCAAATATCTTTTCATATTTCACTACAGCAGTTTTGGTTTTCTTTCCCCCTCTTTTGTTGACATTCCTTGTTAGAATTGCTTTACTCACCCATGGCAATTTTTTGTGATTTTTCCCATTGGTTTTATGGATAAACCTGCCCTTTGTATAGGGAATAAAAAACCAAAAAACAACCCAACAACAAAACCAGTAAATGGTTACTTTTAATGTCTACTGGAAAGAGTACTAAAGACGAACGATTCAGCTCTGACATCCCAGTTGAATTAAATAGCATGTAAATTCAGTTTCCTTCAGGAACCTGATCTGGCCCTGAGAGGGCCCCCTTCTCTGTTGTGCAACTCTGCTGGAGCGAAATTCACTCCGTGCAGAGGGTCACAACCTCTTCCCTATCTGCCTACAATTGCTCCATACCGCTTAAGCCCTAATTTGAAGTTAAGTGGGACTTAGCTGGTGCACAGGTCTTGTGCTGACTCTCTGTATGGAGGCAAAATTCATATCAAGCCACAGAATTGGCTGCGTCTCCTGGCTCGCAGTAAATGCATAATGACAGCATTGTCTCTCTGCTCCCTTGCAAGAACTGAGAGATACTGAGCTGCCTAACTCAATATTATATTGTTCAACAATATATTCCCTACATCTGGAGGAAAAGAGAGAAAGAAAACCTAAACTAATAAAAATCGTAACAGTGAGCAAGAAAGTAAGTTTTCAGTACACTACCTGGCACACCACCAATATACATATTCATGAGCTACATGTTAAAGAATGTACTGAGAGAAAAACAATGTCCTCAGTTGCACTTCAGCAGTTTCCCTCATTCAAAACCAGAGTCTCACATTCTGGATGTAAAACACTGTTACCTCCAGATTCAGTGCAACTTCCCCTTTCCAAGGCACTTAAAACATCTAAAACCTGAACTGCGAACATAAGAGTGTAACTCCCTGCGCCCTTATTTTTAAGATCTGGTCTGACATTTCCATCCTGTCAAACACACCTTCACTAGCAGGTTTTTTTGGCTAGTGTTCTGGTAGGACATGAGTTAGGGAAGAGTATCCCATTTATGTTTTCTTCTAACTGGAATCTTCTAAACTATTCTTGTTCACCAGCATAACCACCACCCCACTTAACTGCTTTGTAAAGTCCTTTGCAGACCCATCAGAGATTTCACTGCAAAGGCACAGGTACATGTAATTGTGCAGGAGGCTTCATGTATACGAGTATTAGATAAAAATATCAGTTGTTGAACTATATATGCCATGTAATCTTATCTTTGCTTCGATTTCCTTTTAATGGAGTTTAGCTGCAATACTTCTAGACACACTTTAAAAAACATCAGCGCAATAAAGTGATCTGGATCGCTGAAGCCAACCTCCTTTTATTTGTTGAATAGCAGCAAACCCAAGACTTCTAGTATCTGGTATTTATTTTTATAGATGTTTCACTTCTCATACTGAAGCAGATATAAATGTGCTCATAAAATCATGAAACCAATACAGTAATGTGCCAAGTGTAGAGGTAAAGGCACTCTAATCGTTTGGCTTGGGTGCAATTCCCAATTCCTGTCTTTTTATGAAACAAAACCCTAACTGATAAATGCTTTAAAAATTAGTGTACAACCCCCTCCGCAAGTTTAAACATTTCTCTTCCATTCTAGAAAATAATGTAGAAATAATTTTAACCAATTATTGAACACAGACATTTTAACCTTTCTTTCTGCTCAGTACATTTGTTACACAAGATGAGCTCCAAGCATCAGATGTTGATAGAGTGAGCGTGTTTCTTGCACAGTGGCTTGTCCTTCTTGGAGAAGAAAGCCTGACCCTCCAAACTGTCACTACATACCTGAAATGGGATAAAAAAGAAAAGATCACCCAAATCAGATGGATGAATTACACCATCCATTATTCAGAATGCCAAATCATGGCATTGTTCTATGCACAAATATATTCAAAGAATAAGAATTATTACCTTTTTCTTAGGAATACTCTTTTTGATGTAATAGGTTGACGTAAGCATAACCTTCCTTTCTTTAAGTCAACAGGTTCTTAACTGGGAGCAGAGTTAGGTTCAGCATTTTAAAAAAAATCCAATCATTAGGATTGGGGCTTTTTTTTTTTTTGGTCATACAATATTACCAGGTGATACCTTGGCTACAGTGTCGTTATGTCAAAAGCATTCTTGCTGCTTTCGAAACACAGCCTGTTCCTGCATGGCCTTCAATGCTTGCTCCGAGGAAGTAAACGTCAAGGGTTAAATGCTAGGACACATGGCTGCAATCCAGGCCAGCTCCTCTGGACTGGTGCCAAAGGCTCACAATAGCAACACACCTTCCAAATAACTGGGAAAGTGCTTTTTGTTTGGGCTCAGAGCATTGAAAGAGGTTATAGTTGTTAACTCCCATATTGGTCAGGTTAGCACAAGCACTGCTGCCATGGGTTTGTTTAAAATGTAGACTAGCTTTACTTACTGAGCATACAAAGCAAGTGTCATGCCAAGTGTGGCCCAGAGCTTCAAGAAACCTGTCTCCAGCTTCAATGGGGAATTCACAGCCATGGCACATAGTACCGAAGAGGGCATAGTAATCTGCAAACAAATACAAACAGATTTAACGATGAAGCATATGCAGAAAAGCGAGACTGACCCTTTGAAACCTTTGTGCTTTTCTTTCAATGGCAGTGGGTTTGCACTTGTTGAGTTTTATAATACTGGGTACACTGAGTAAAGAGGTCCTAGATCGGAGGACCGGGCTGCCCTCCTTTCCTTGCTAATGCAGTTCTCGTCCCGTTCCTTATCCTTTCAAGTGAGCAACACTTCCAACTTCCTGGTGTTTCACTTCCTTGAGATCAATAGTGCGCTCGGGGCGGGGGGAAATGCACTCCTTGCAGATAATGTGCTCCTTACCTTCTCTCCGGCTCTGCCTTGAAAGCATGGCCTGGCTGTTCACACAACAGACCTCCTCAGCGAGTAACGAACTCCTGCCTACATTCTGGCACAATATTTGCCCCAGACTGCACTACACAAAATCATGCAATCATTATGCTTCTGTCCTAACAGAGTCTAGCAATTTGGATCAAGTCAGAATAGTTTTCTAGTCACTGGAGCTTATTACATGGCTTTAAAAAAAAACCAAACAAACCCAACAACAAAACAAAAAACCAAAACCACACACACCCACAAAACAAACCAGAGGCTTTAGGCAATATATTTATTGCATTTAACAAAAAGGATCAGTAGGGTGTCAGGATGGTTATTAGTGACTGGAATCACTGAAGGGTATTTGCACCATTCATTTTTAGACACCAGATTGACTTGGTGCCTCTGGAGACTCCCCTGGAGTCAGCAGAGAAAAGCTCCTCCAGCAATCTCAGAGAGCAGGGACCAAAACCAAGGGCACTGAACCGTTCGTATTCCCCACCAACTGCAGAGCTTGAAAAAGAGAAAGCAGGGCAGACTAGCAGGATAAAATACATGTATAAAGTTGGGTGGGAGGCCCTGACACCCACTGGCATCCCCACAGTCTCAGTGTGTGAAACTCTCCTCTCTGTGTGTAGAGGCATCTCAGGGGCTACAAGTCACCACAGCCCTCCTGCCCACCTATGCAGACCTAAATTTCACCCCAAATTGTCTGGTCTTTTCCACTTACTTCAACTCTCAAACACCCCGTTCTAAGAAGGAAATGTTTTTTTTCCTGAACAGAAGACAACAGCGTTAGTGCTATAACACGAGACAATTTGGGATCAGCACGCTGCCATGCCAAACACAATGTCATGCAACATTACGCCTTCATAAGATGAACTATAGAATGACAACCACAATGAAGCTTTGGACTCCATCCTTAATAGTAACACTCTGGCTCTGACAAGGAAATTAGATGTCAGGGGTTGTTTTCAAGGAGCCTTATAAGGAGTAGCAAGCGGGGTACAAGGAGATTTTGTTTCTCTACCAGATTATACAGATCTGCTGAAGCTCTAGTGCTTACTGCAGCAGAGCCAACAGAGGCTTATCACATGTGTCAAGCCCAAGGGAAGGCTCCTGTTTTGGTTTAGTAAGACAGTGTTTTGTATGATGACCTCAAAAAGCATCATCATAAAAGGCATCTCAGCAGGACGGGGAACACAAGTGCTCTGGAAAAACAAAGCCCTTGATGGCTGCCAGTGGCAAGAAATAGCTTCGCCGATCGCCTTCATTAATCCATGCTACTGGCATGAATTCGCAAGTGTTTAAACAGAAGACAGACAATAAAAATGTCAAATGGTAGAACACCTCTGTCCAAAACCCCTGAAGGACACCATCTCATGACCATACCATTTCAGCTCTTTGCATTTGTGTTCGTACAGAATCTTTTACTGATATTTTCCTGGTGCCAGTAGTTAAAGCCTTTTGTAAGTTGGCCTGTGGTTTGTGTTGATAAGTTTATTGGCTTTTCTTCTGAAGAAAGGGCAATAGATAAGGCAGAATGGGACATCAGCTTTCTTTTGCTTTTGCATGCTGGAATTGTGATACCACAGAAGCCTCCCAAGGCAGACTTCTCATACAGTCACATATCAATGTTTCCTGCACACAGCATTTTCAAAACTAGGTTACTAACTCTGCACTTAAAAAAAAAGTTCAAAAGTTGTAGATATCTGCACTTTTAATTTAATTTTAGCATCGACATCCAAACCCAGAACATTTTGCAGAGTAAATCCCCTTAATACTAATAGCTGTTGCTGTTATAATTTCAAATACAGATTTAAAATTAGAACCCTTCTTTGCACTAGGAAGAAGGAAAGTTGGCAATGACATTTACTCCTTATTTCTTTAAAATTAGTCATAGACTCTTAACTCCAGCTGGACTGAAAGTCTTTGAAGAATGAATATCTCAAATTAACATCTAGTTAGAGAGCCAGAGCCATTACAACGTATCACTGCCAATAACACCTCACAGAATGTGTCTACATTAACTTGTGCTAGCAACTTTCTATCTCAGAAATAAACTTTGTGAGAAGTATGATATGCTTGACATTTTATCCCAGTGTTTCCTGCTCACAGTATAGAAAAGTGCACATTTGTGCACAGGAGTCGTAACAGTAGCACAAATCAATGCACCGCACAATATACGGGTCATTTGGTGGCAGGAACAAGAATTCAATATTAGCAGAACAAACCCGGTCACGAGCTTTCCACCCAAAGAGGAGTTATCGATTCCTCCAGCACTATTTTTGAATCATCAAACGGTTCCAAGATTAGGGGCTTCAGATTGCTTCAGGATGAAATTTCACCGTGCTGTCACACTGGAGGATGCTGCTCATATATCCATTTCCTCTGCTGCTCCACGAATTCAATAAGAGCAACAGTTACTTGTGTCACTGAGTTAGCAATAACCTACTGCGTCCTTTCCTATCTGCCAACACCTCATTAAAGCTGCTCGCTGCTCTGACAGAGAAATTTTGGACAAATTTTGCCTGCTTTCCTCATCCTTTCAGTACCTAGCACTCTCCATGGCACCCACTGCGAACAACTGTGGGATCAACCCAGAAGGAAATCTTAGCTCCAAACAGATCACTAGGATTTCATGATAAATCTCTTCCTGGTCAACCCACTTCCACCTCTAGTTAAATTCTAATGCTCCTTCCAGTAGAAGGAAAAACACAGAAAAGGTCCAACTGATGGTTCTAACATGGATGTAAACAGCATGTAGTATGAAAATAGACAATTTTGATACAATTTTGTTTCTTTTCCATTTTGTGGGAATTGTTTTACAAATACTATCTATTTCTTCCTAGCCCAGAAGGGTACATGGAAAGTTTTAAGCAAACTAGGAAACCAACGTAAATAAAAACTGTTCATATTAATCAAAAAGATACGATTAGCTGGAAGTGCTAAAAACCAAGCCAGAATCCCTCTGAACTTCTAAGCCGCATCTTTCACGTAATATTACTCATCAGGCTTTCAAGTACCATAATCGTATCACTGTATTTTTCCCCCAACAGCCTTTTTTTTTTATCCCAAGCTTATGTTCCACAGATGTTATCCCTGATCCTGCAAAAAACTTCCTGGGCAGACCGCTTACCCTTGGAAGTCCCTCTCAGCTGTGAATAAGGTTATTCAGAGCAAAAACACATTACTCCACTGGCATTTGCTTGTTTAGTAAATAAGTAGATTTACATAAACTCCGAATTATTTTAAAGCCAACCAGAAAGTCACCCTAAAATTAACACTTTGCTGTATCACTGATACCTACAGCTGAGGACTTAACAGGAGCAACAAGTAAAACCAGTGACAAGAAGCCTGCTCCTGCCGAAGCTGATGAAGAAATTCTCACCAACTTCTGCTGCAAACTCAAAGCATCTACAGCATTTGTTGCTGCTTTGAATTGACATATCAAAGTTACGTGACTTTGCTGGGACACTTCTTCTGAAGTGAAGCTTGAGAAAAAGGAATTTTTTTTTTTTTTCCAGCCCTATTAAGCTCTGCTTCCCTGCACAGCCACAGTAAACTTTGGTTGTGTTGCTTCTTACCTGTCTCACAGTAGGGATCGCCGTCTTCTAAGTGGAAGACATTATTGCGGATGGGGTTATGACAGGCCACACACACGAAGCAGGAAACGTGCCAAGTTTGTTTCAAAGCATTTATTACTTCCTGTGGGGATTAGAAAAAGTGTTATTAACACATTATTTTGATGTGATGACTAGACTGTGGTGACCATGCCTCCACACTTGATTCGTTTCAAGAATGCTTTGTTTCCTACTGCTACTTTGACAATGGATTGTGCACGCAATCTCTGCTGGTGTTAAACGTAATGAGGTGCTTTATTTATGGTACATCTCCTTATTTGTCATAAGCAACCTTTCATATTTTGGAAGGCTCAATGTAGAGTTGGACAGATTTAACAACGCATTTGTTCACCTTTTCCATCTTAATTAGGATCTCACCCATAATAGTCCCCTGAAATAAGAAAAGCAGCATCTCCAATGTCTCCTCAAGTGTGTGACTCAAAAGACATCACATAGAAAATTATGACTGCTCTGTGGGGTTTTGGAAGACGCTCTACTGCCAAATATGACTTGAGAATCGTGCTGCCAGAGCCCTGTGTGACCCCAGTTACACAAGAGTCCAGACACATCGCTGTCTGCAGTAAAGCGGTGGACGATCAGCTGGCAGGCTCAAATTAGCAGTATTAGTGCCGAGTAGGATAATGCATCTTTCTATCTACACTACCATTGGGAATATTTCAGTACTTCACATCTAGCCAACCAGCATGTTCCCCAGCACTCAGCTTAGTTAAAGGAGGATTATTTATTTTTCTCCCCCCCCTCCCATTTTGTAAAAAGCTGCCAATTAAAAGCATTTTGCTCAAGAAAATTTAGTAATCACAACAGCTACAGAACAGCTTCATGAAAACAGGAGCTGAACTTGGAAGAGCCAAGGAGACTACAGCACCTTTTCACAAAGAGACTGAGAAGGCTCAACATTAGAAGAGCCAAAAACATATTTCATATGTGATGGAGCTGAAAAGGTATGTCAGAGTACGTTTGGAGGAATGCAGACTGGGTCAGATAAAAGGGAATTTCATTACAGGGAAGCACTGAACACTGTGGTTATTGTTCCCACTGAAAAACAGGCCACTTGCTGGTCACCTACCCCAAGTATCTTCCTTTGGCACTTTGAACACTCAGGGGCAAAGAACTTCTCATAGCAGACCTCGCAATACAGGGCCCCTTTCTCTTCCACAAATCCAATGTAAGCCATGGAGGTTTTGCAATGAGCGCAGTTAAACTCCTCTGGATGCCACGACTTCCCCAATGCCACCAAGAAGGGTCCTCTGGTCAGAAAGAAGAGATTTTGTCAGCAAATGCCCCTGAGTTGGCTCCTGCAAAAGCTGTTAATAGGCTTAAACTGTGATACTTCTGTGCCATTATTACACTGTTCACAAACTTACACTGCTCCATCCCTCTTTCCTCCTACAGGCTCTAAGAAAGCGTCAAGAGTTGACTAGATCTATTCCCATTGAACTACCTCCCAGAAACACCTGACCACAACAAATACTAATTCTCTTCGCTTCAGTGCATTTCAGAGATCTTAGTTTAGAACTACATTCAATACAGTGCTGAAGTGGCTGCTAAGGAAAAGAAGAAGGATGTTCCCTATGTTCCCAGCTATTTCCATCTATTGCAAAGAGATATTTGGCTCAGTGATACAATCGGCTTTCTTTCAGCGTGCATTTGCGTCAAGGCCACAAATGTTGAAGCAGACCTGACTCCATTAAAAGCCGATAACACCAGTTTCTTGTGAGACAAAAATTCAATCACTGTCCTTATCCAACAAGTTTGTTACAGGATAACCCACCCCAGTTGTTGGGGTTTTTTATGTTGGTTTGTTTGGGGTTTCCCCCCCGCCCCCCCCCCCCAAGTTAGTTAAAATATGACCATTTTCTTCAGATACAGAGCCTCCTCTACTACTTGCGAACACAAAATAGTGATGCTTTTATAGCATATGTCTGGTTAATGCAACGAGGTTAATAGACATGATGAAATTGTCCATTTCTCAGTCAACAAAAACTTCACAGTTTGTAACTCATAAATCCCAGGCATATGCCATTATATCTGTATTAATTTGAAAACATATTCAGCATGCTAATTTCTTTAATGAACTTATTTACTTTAATGAGGTGCATCCTAGGTCCCACCACTGAACCTTCCAGAACTTAGGTTTCAGGTGAACTTTGTGGTTCAAGTTCATCTCCCTCACCAGATTTCCCATTTCTGCAATACCGAGAGATGCCATTCTTTCAGTAATGCATCACTTTTTTCTGATCTAATACTTCACTGCAAAAAAAGTGTAAGGTACTAATATCACCACCCTGTTGCTAAACTTTTTTTTGAAATCAGGTAAGCTACAAGAACATTTTTGTGTAAGATAAGATTCTCATATGAACAAAGCAACAGCAATAGAGAAGAAAAAAAACCCTTAAAATTTGTTTCCAGGGTTATACTGACTGTAAGATGGGAATATAAGCAGGCAGAGGACAGAGGGCAACTTCATTGAGAGAGGGAGTAATTATTTTCATTTCTCTTCTACATTTTCTCTGTAG